TTTGTTCTTCCAATTCATGAACATGAAATGTTTTTTACATTGTTTTGGTGCCTTCTTCAATTTCTTTCATCAGCTTTCTATAGTTTTCAGTGTATATATTTTTCATCTCCTTGGTTAGGTTTATTCCTGGGTATTTTATTATTTTCGGTGCCATTATAAATGGGGTTGATTCCTTGATTTCTCTTTCTGATGCTTCATTATTGGTGTATAGCAATGCAACTGATTTCTGTGCATTGATTTTATATCCTGCGACATTGCTGAATTGATGAATCAGTTCTAGAAGCTTTTTGGTGAAGTCTTTTGGGTTTCCCACATAGAGAATCATGTCATTTGTGAAGAATGATAGTTTGACTTCCTCCTTGCTGATTTGGATGCCTTTTATTTCTTTTTGTTGTCTGATTGCCGAGGCTAAGACTTCCAATACTATGTTGAAAAACAGTATGAGAGTTAGACATCCCTGTTGTGTTCCTGACTTTAGGGTTCCCTGGTTTTCCCCATTGAGGATGATATTAGTGGTGGGTCTTTCATATATGGCCTTTATAATCCTGAGGTATGTTCCTTCTAGCTGTACTTTCTTAAAAGTTTTTATCAAGAAAGGATATTGTATTTTGTCAAATGCTTTTTCTGCGTGTATTGAGAGGATCATGTGGTTATTATCCTCTCTTTTATTGATGTGATGTATCATCACGTTGATTGATTTGTGGATATTGAACAAGCCCTGCATCCCAGGAATAAATCCCACTGATTGTGGTGAATAATTCTTTAAATGTATTGTTGGATCTGGCTTGCTAGTATCTTGTTGAGAAGTTTCGCATCCATGTTCATCAGGGAAATTGGTCTGTATTTCTCCTTTTTAGTGGGGTCTTTGGTTTTGGAATCAAGGTAATGCTATTCTCATAGAATGAGTTTGGAAGTTTTCCTTCCATTTCCATTTTTTGGAACACCTTCAAAAGAATAAGTGTTAATTTTTCTTTAAATGCTTGGTAGAATTCCCCTGGAAAGCCATCTGTCCCTGGACTCTTGTTAGTTAGGAGATTTTTTTATTTTGGTTCAATTTCTTTACTAGTTTTGAGTCTGTTCAAATGTTCTATTTCTTCCTTTTTCAGCTTGATAGTTTATATGTTTCTAGGAGTTTGTACATTTCTTTCAGATTGCCCAATTTGTTTGCATATAATTGCTCATAATATTCTCTTATTGTGTGTATTTCTGTGGTGTTGGCTGTGATCTCTCCTCTTTCATTCATGATTTAATTTATTGAGATCTTTTTTCTTTTTGATTAATCTGGCTACAGGTTTATCAATTTTGTTAAATCTTTCAAAGAACCAGCTCTGTTGCTTTTGGTCATTTTTGTTTTGTTTTGTCTTTTGTCCACTCAAAGAGTCCCCCTTAAAATTTCTTGCAGGGCTGGTTTAGTGGTCATGGACCCCTTTAGTTTTTGTTTGTCTGGGAAACTCTTTATGTCTCCTTCTATATTGAATGGCAGCCTTCTTGTCAGACAGAATTCTTAGCTTCATGTTTTTCTGATTCTGTACATCGACTATATCCTGCCACTCCTTTCTGACCTGCCAAGTTTCTGTGGATAGGTCTGTTGCAAACCTGATCTGTCTTCCCTTATAGGTTAAGGACTTTTTTCTCTGCTGATTTCATAATTTTTTTCTTGTCTGTATATTTTGGAATTTGACTATGATATTCCTTGTTGGTGGTTGGTTTTTGTTGAATCTAGTGAAAGTTCTCTGTACTTCTTGGGTTTTGATGTCTATGTCCTTCCCCAGATTAGGAAAGTTTTCTACTAGAATTTGCTCACATAAACCTTGTACTCTTTTTATCTCTATCTTCAACTTCTGGGACTCCTATGATTTGGATGTTATTCCTTTTTAATAAGTCACTGTGTTTTCTAAGTCTTGTATCATGATCTTTTGCCTTTGTTTTTTCTCTTTTTTTCTGTTTTATTATTCACCATAATTTTATCAGTTATATCACTGATTAGCTGCTCTGCTTCATCCACCCTTGCCATCATGGTCATCTCAGTTACAGCATTTTCAATTTCAATCTGACTAGGTTTTACTTCTATTATCTCAACAGAAATGGATTCTCTACCCCAGCTAGTATTCTTATTATCATGGCTCTAAATTCTAGTTCAGACATCTTACTTATATTTGTGTTGATTAAATCCCTGGCTGTCATTTCTTACTGTTCTTCTTTGGGGGGGGGGAGGTGAATTCTTTCATTTTGTCATATTGGAGGAAGAAAAAAATTAATAAAATTAAAAATTAAAATTAAAAACCTAAATATGAAACAAAAAAATCAAATAAAGGAAGCTATAACCTAGATGTGTTTTGGTCTGCTTGTTGAAAGAAGCTTGATAAAATAGAGAAAAAAGGGAAAGGAAAGAAAAAAAGGTAAGAAAAAATTTATAAATTAAAAAAATCTAGAATAAAATAAAGAAAATTAAACAGAATAAAAAATAAAAATAAAAATAAAATTTTCTCTTTCTGTATCTAAGAAAGAAAAAGAAAATAAAGAAAAAGGAAAATAAAGAAAAACAGAAGCAAAGAAAAGAAGTAAGTGAATCAGCAAACAGAATGAAACCTGAACAAAGTTACATCCAGTTTCCTCTAGATGAAACTATGAAGACTTCTATAGTCAGTGCACTAAGGAGGTGGATAGAATTGGGTTTACACTGTAATCCCGTTACATTGGGCTTAATGTAATGGCTACATTCTCCACTAGGTGGCACTGCTTAGCCAACTTGTAGGTGGAACTGTGTATGTGTATGCGCTGGTGGGGGATAGGTGGAAATGGCTTCATCCCTAGTCTCTAATGTAGGAACTTTGTTTTCTCACCCACCCGTGATCAAACACCCCTCCTTTATCTCAGGCCTCCAACCACTCCTCACCTCTACCCTGTCCGTGTCCAAGCTGTCCACCTGCCAGACGGCTCCTCCCTCCAGAGTTTTATCTCAGATACAGTTGTGTTTCAAACCTCACATTTCAGAGACCCCCAGGGCTTGGACCCACATTGACTCTCTGGAGGAGGGTCTTGCTGAGCATTGGGTGGGGGGAGGGGGTGCCATCTTGCACCAGAAAATGTTTGTGTAATTGTGCAGTGGCAGAGGTTCAGAGTTTATGGCAAATTACAACACACAGTCGGAGCCAGACCAAATACCATTTTTTACAGGCCTGCCAAATCTAGCTTCAGGACATCTGGTCATTTGGTTCAAATGCTCATGGTGCAGTAAATGGCTATCCATAGAGGGGACATGTGGCCAGACTGCTTACTTCCACCTCAAAAGTCTCTTTGTACCGTTGCTTCCACATGTCTTGCCTTCCTGTCCTTCCCACTGGTTCTCCCATGTTGCTATGTATGGTCTTCCCCTGTTCTGAGCTGAAGGCCTTTCTCTGACATAGCAGTGAAAAACACCCACTGTTTTAGGCTTTATTTTCCACCCCTCCCAATCAATCACCCATGACCCATAAGGCTGATGGTCAAGTAAGCTGGTTAGATGTAGGTTTATGTGGGTGAGGTCTTTGCTTTAGATGATCAGGGCTGAAAGATCCCTGTGTGTCCCGATGAGAAGATCCTTTGTGTGTGTGTGTGTGTGTGTGTGTGTGTGTGTGTGTGTGCATGTGTTTAAAGCTGGACATCTATCTACCTTGAAAAGATGAGGAATAGCCTTCTTTAAAAACAATTGAATGTATCTGAGCAAAGTATGTCCAGTTCTGAACTGTTAGGAGTTCTGGCAAGTTTTATAATATGCTGGCATGGGAATTTGACTTTATATAAATTTTCAATTGGGGTTTCAGACTGATATCTCAACCTTGAACCTTGATGGATCAAAAGAGAGAGAGAGACAGAGACAGAGACACAGACAGAAACAGAGACAGAGAGAAAAAACAAACAACAATCTTTTCTGGCTTGCCAGGATCCTGGCCCTGGCGTGTACTTCCTGTTTTCAACCCCATCCTGTCCTTTAGGCTTGTGAAATCTGGTTCCCTGATTTTTGACCCTGGTGCTGGCTAAGGACTTTGAAACTTCATGCTGGCTTGAGTGTACAAGCTGAATTTGTTCTGGGTCCTGTGTCAATCCAAGCCTTGCCATCCCTCCATGTTCACTCTGACCTCTGCAGACAAAGACCTGTACCTGACTACATTGTATTTGTTAGTGATTCTCTTGTCCCTGGGCTGTGAGATACTAGAGGGAGAAATTTGATCATGTCCAGCTGTAATGCCTCAGCTCTGATAGCAAGGAGAGTGGAGAGAAATTCCTGGATTACTGAGTAGGGACCTCCAGACCATGAGGTTCTAAAGCATCTACCACTGCCCCCCTGCAGAAGGGCAAGGGCAGGAAGCCTATGGGTCAGAGCCTGAACCCTTACCTGCCTCTGAGGCCCTAGCTGGTGACTGATGGGCCATTGTACAAATTAATGTGCTTTTGGCACCAGTAACAGAATCCAAAATCGTTTAAGTCCAGCTAACATAAAGAAAAGACGGTATGGATCCCCAGACATCCACAATGGATTAATGGGCACACAAAATGTGGTACATACATATGATGAAACATTTTTCAGCCTTAAAAAGGAATGAAGCCCTGACAGGTGTTGCAGCTGTAAACTGGAGATACTGAGTATCTATACTTCTCTTTTGTGTTGGGGATCTAGAAAAACTTCTGCAAGAGTGACAAAAATTATTAGCATGTGAAGATTTCCACTCTTGTTGGTAAAAAATGTTTTTAGAGAAAAGAAGAAGAAAAAGAAATTTGGTAAATGGATAAGGATGGACAGGAAAAGTCAGGAGTTCTCTCAGGCATTTCATGAGTAAGAGGCCAGAGATGTGGCATGTCAGAAGCTGATCATAATTATTTAGGATGGCTGGTGTGCAGATGAGAGAGGAGGCCCCGAAGGAAGAGCCAAAAGAAGGATGTGAAATATGTATTTCTGTGTATTGAGAATGTATTTATTCCCCCACCTCCCTTAACTTTAGCATTTCCTACAGAGATTGAGAAAATGTTTGAAATACTTTTAATTTCTTTTTCATTAGGGGCCAGCTTCTCTGAATGTGACCGTCATCCAGACCACACGGCTGCCTGCATTTTCACAGGGTTGCATTTTTCTTTCGGAACCAGGGCTCCCACCGAGGCCAGATGGTCATGGAGAGCTGCAGAGCTGGGGTTGGCCTTCCTATGTCCCAATACTTTTAACCTGGGCCGAGTTCCTGGGAGGCAGAAAAGGTAGATTGGGATCCTTGATGTATTCTTGGACCCATTTGTTGTTGGGGTTAGTGCAGACCTCTCGATTCTTTTTGGTGACAAAGCTGTGGAGACAGAGTTAGACTGTCAGCGGCAATGAAGTAGGGTGGGGGTCCAGTCCACACTACCCCATTTCTAGCTCACGGGGGGCTCACCTCATACTCTTTACTGCCTCTCTAGGCCTCCCTCATCTGAGTTCCCACAGTAGGCCTCCCTCTCTGGCTTCTAGACCTGATTGCCCCTGTTTCAGCCTATTCCCTGCTCACCCAAGACACTCAGGCTTGGATACCATTATGGATGTCATATATTGGGCCACACAACTATAAGTGGCAAGATCAAGAATTAAACTGAGGCCTGGAGCTCCTAGGTTAAGCGTCCAACTGCGACTCAGGTAATGACCTTGTGGTTCGTGAGTTCAAGCCCCGCATTGGGCTTGCTGCTGTCAGCACATCAGCACAGAGCCCACTTCCAATCCTCTGTCTCCCTCTCTCTACTGTCCCTCCCCTTCTCTGTCCCTCTCTCTCCCTCAAAAATAAATAAATATTAAAAACACAAACAACGGAGGCATGCCCTGGGAGATTCAAAGCCCAAGCCCCTAAGCACGACTCCCTTACTTCTAGCATGGAGACTTCTTGGTTCTGTGCATCTCATTCTGGCCCCGGGTTCCCTTTCCCCCTCCACATAAATGTCTGCAGGGGATGCTTACATGATTGCTGGCAGGTAACAGTTGAGGGCCTTTCTGTATCCCACCACCAATTTCCTTGGCAATACTTTCTCATGATGCTTCAGGCAGCAGGTGGGAGAATGGTTCAATGACTCAGGAATTTCTGAGGGAATCACATTGAAAGTTGAGCCAAATAAACATAGAGGGAGCCCGTGGCTGCCTATTTTCATCTCCCACCCATTGCATTCCATGCTTCTGATGGCAAAGCCATCTGTTAGCAGGGACTGATGGTAGCTTGATGGGTGATAGACTGTGGAAAAAGAAAGGAGGGGTGGACATACATCTAGAACCTTCTGCTTCTGAACTGAATTTCAGCAAATGTAAGTGACTCAGTTATTCATGTTTGCTGGTGAGCCAGGGCTTGGTTTGGCCAACATGTATTGAGCTCTAAGGGGGCAAAATCCTGAGGAAGACAACACCATCATTACTCTGGAGCATCTCACAAGCCAGTCAGGGTGAAAAGGGAAAATGAAATGAATAATACTACAGTAGAGTGTGGTCTGGGATAAAAGAGAATTTGGCACAAGGTGCTTTGGAAAACAGAATGACGGGCACCTACCCCAGCCTGGGTGGCTGAGGAAGAAGTCCCACAGTATCTGGTGCATGGCTTGCTTCTTGAAGGATGAGTGGGATTGAGGCAGGAAAAAAGGGTTGTAGGATCTGGAAGAGAGAAATGCATGCAGGCATGAAGGTGGGGGAGGCTAAGAGTCTGGGGAGTGCTAAGCCATTACAGATGACTGCAATGCAATGTGAGAAGAAAGAAGAGGAGATGGAATTGGAGAGGGAAGGGGAGACCAGCACACATGAGCTGTGGACTCTATCCCAGCAGAATCAGAGAGGCTGAGGTCAGGGAGAAGGGCAAGATGAGCAGTGAGCCAGAGAAGTTAGGGTAGGAAGAAAAATGTTCTATTTAGGCTTCGGGTCATACATCTAGAATTAGTATCTTGACCAAATGATTTGAAGCATGGGCAAATTAAAACAAAAAATCTCTCTACATCTCCTCATCCATTAAATGAAGGTATAAAGATGCTTATATGTCCTAGGATCATGTGAGGGTTAGTTGAGAAAATGCTGGTAAAACCCTTAATTCAGAACATAGTAAGGCTCAGCCAGTGCTTGTTATAATTAAGAGCAGATGGTAGTAATTGACCATTCTTCTTGCCTGGAAATGCCACTTCCCCCTTCTCTTTGATGCTGTCAGAATGTTGGCCTTGGTTGGTTGTTAACACTGTGTTTCCCTTGAGTTCCTCTGACTACTTGTCAGTTGGGACATCACAGAGTAGGGGAGGCAGAGACCTCCTCCAGTCCCCAAAACTACAGAGTGCAGATCCTTTGGAGACTGACCCTTTGTTTCCGGCTGGTGGCTAAGATTGGAATATCCTGAGAGTGCCATTTGGCTGCTCCATGCTTTGGGTCGGCCATTTTCTCTTCTTTGAAGACTGAGCCCATTGGAGTGGTCTGTTTGACCTTCCCTAAGGGCATTGTTACCTCCTCCTGCCAACCATGCGATGCAGCTTTGGACATAATGATGTCCATGACCCTGGTTTTCAAAGCAAAGTTGACAAAGTCCAGGGGGCATCTTGAGAGCATGTGGGCAGATTATGTGGTGCACACTACCCTTGTTCCCTTGAGAGTTTATACACCAGAGTCCAGCCAGACCACATTCCAAGGGTAGCCTTAGGAGGAAAAGGGATGGGGCACCTGGAGACTGGTATGTGGAAAGTATGAGTGGCTTGGACTCTTTCTTGTCATCAGGTCCTCATACATGGTGGTTGAGGCAGGGACAGAGAATAACAAAAACAAATTTTGCCTCCATAAGTCCCCAGCATCCTGTGGCTCCCAAAACCTCTCAACCCCTTTCTCTTTTCTATAGCTTTTATTTAGACCCAGACTGGGGAATAGGGATGGAGGCCATGAAATCCTGCACTGCACACCTGAGCATCCCATTGATCCTTCCTTTGGGTGCCATGATAGTCCCAGAAATCTGTGCCAGACACTACAAGGAAGGGTGTCTAAGTTCAGACTCCCCACCCCTGGGCTTGGCTGCAAACATCATTTCAGCCCCCTCCCCAGTACCTTTCATCCTGCTCTCTCAGAGCACCTGCAGCTTTTCTTATTCGGCTGCCTTGCTCTCCTTTCGTTGCTCATGTTTATTCTCATTTCTTCTGTTACTTCTTTGGCTCCTCCTAAATGATCGTTCACTATTCTCCATCTTTGGGACTCCTGACATAACCTTGACCCAGCTTCTTGGAACTGCCTGACGACCCCAGAAGGAATCTGGACACCAGCCCTCCTCTCTTTGCAAAGGGGAAAGTTTGAAGACTGTGCCTAAAGGAAGGGAGAGGGTCCATGGCTGATGATGGAGACCTGACAAGGCTCTTGGTGTCACCTCACTGCCAGCTGCCCTACCTGCCTTTCTCATTCCAGACCTACAGGGACAAGTGGACTCACTTGACTGGCCGTACAAAGCCGGAGTGGTGGAGATGAGGATGAGGATAAAGAGTGCAGCCACAGAGACCTTCATCCTCTTGGGAGGGACCCTTCAGCTTCAGGGGAGGCTGGTCATTCACTGCGACTTCACAGCTGCTCTCTGGACTCTGACCA